TCTGTTTATTATTAACCGTTATTGTTGCAGTGCTGGGGGTCAACCCTTGGCCTCCTGCGAGCTAGGCAGGTGCTGGCCCATGAGCTGTACCTCAGGCTTGTTGTTTCAGGGTGCTGAATCAGGACACATCTTTTGTCAGTCCATGCTTGGGGCGGGGTTCCTCTGGAATTCCTCTTCTGTGACAATGGCTTCTCTTGAAGTACCCAGTGGGGAAGACTTGTTAAGACTGGCCTGGGACCTCCCTGCCCCAGTCTGCAGCAGTGGGGTGGGGGAGGGTGGACTGCCCTTGACTGGGCAGAAATTCCCTGAGACTTGCTCCCTTCAAAGCAGACCAGATTCCAGTGTTGTGTGGCTGTCTGCCGTCATTGCCATGGGCCCTTTCTGGGGCAAACCAGACAGTGCCACTGTCCCAAGACTGTCCCAGCCTGCAGAAATTGGCTGTAAGTCCACTCTGTGCAGGAAGAGTTTGTGTGGAAGGAGCACTTCCCTGAGTTTTGGGTGGTGGGCACAACTGCTCTTCCATCCCTTCTCTGCAAAAACTAGGGCTCTGGATGAAGCCTTGGGTTTTAAAACTGTTTCTTAACTAGAAACAACAGCATTCACTAGCAAACTCTTACCAATAAAACAGGAGCGTGTATGAGGTTGGTGACCCAGGCCGCCCTCTTGCTCCAGCCCCAGGCTTGCTCCAGCTTGCCTGCAAGTCCCAGGCCAATGTATTTCTGGTTGGGATGAAAGCCAGGGGTCAGATAAAGTTCCAACTTATTTTGCAGCATGTCTGACACTTTGCCCAGTGCCTTGGCTGGTGACAGTTGCCAGGAGAGTGTGTTGAGAAAGACAGTCTAGAAACTGGTCTAGATGTGTTGGAGGAGCCAGAGAGCTCAGCACCACAATGGTCTGTGAAGCCATCACAGTGTGCTGCAGGGACCCGGGATACCTCTATAGCCATTGTGCTAATCCATCAGCATCTCTGGGGTTAAGATTCAGCTGTACCCCCACTTATCTTCAGCAAGACAAGTAAACACAGACTACAGATAAGCATTTCATATGAGTAATGGAGCTGAACCCCATCCAGAACTGGAGGAAGTAGGGTTATTATCCCAGCCACTTCGACAGTGGTTGATGTATTAACACAACAGACAGCATGTCTGAAGGCTGCTAAAACTTTCCTATGCATTGCTTCGTTTACTGGGGAAGCCGAGGCATGGAGGAGCAGGGTCACGTGAAAGCACTGACAACTGGGTGACTGCAGAATAGAGTGTCACCTGTTCCATGATTTTCTGAATGGAGAAGGCACCATAAAACAGACCAAGTATGGGAATGGAAACCCATTGCTTTGTGGATTTTGTTGTTGTTGTTTTTTTGTTTGTTTGTTTTGAGACAGGGTCTTCCTGTAGCCCCAGCTGGCCAGAAACTCCTTATGTAGACCCAGGCTAGTCTCTATCTCACAGAGATTTGCCTGCCTCTGCCTCCTTAGTGCTGGGATTAAAGAAATGTTACACCACACTTAGGTGGAACTTATTGCTTTGTATGATAATTTATTGTTGTTTGTTTGAGACACGTTCTCATATAGCCCAGCCTGGCCAAGAACTCACTATGTAGCCAAGGATGACCTTGAACTTCACTTCCCAAGTCCTGGGATTACAGGCATGCTTCACCATGCCTAGTGTATGCTGAAGATCAAACCCAGAGCTCTGTGCATGCTAGGTGAGCACTCTACCAACTCAGCTACATCTCTGGTCCATATATGCTAACTTAAAAAGCAAATACAACACAAAGCAGGTCAGAGGTTTGAGTCTTCTACCTTCTGCCCAGCAGCAAGTACTGCTCCCTTGGGTACAGCTCAGACAGCCTCAGACAGCTGACCTGAGCCCTGGGCAGCCTTTCCTTCCTCTGCCCTGGCCCACTTGGTCTAAGTGCATAGTCCCAGATCCTTTGGGGGCTGTGTGGGACAGACAGTGGACAAGGGTGTAAGCTGAGCCTATGGCCCTGGGCCCCCAGGGACAGCACTGCTGCCCTGTATGCCTCCTGCAGTCCAGGCTGTGTCCACAGCCCAGGTATGAGGCAGCTGGACCAACTTTTGCACTGGGCCATCTTCCATCACTTAGTGGGTCCTGAGATAGGCTGTGGCTGCCTGGTATCAACCTGTCACCTCATTGTCAACTGTGCTTTCACCCGCACCAGGTGAGCAGTTGGGTGCCACAGTCACTGCAGTTCCCAGGTCAGAGAGGCTAAGGAAGGGACAGTCCTTAAGGATGGTTTCCTGTGCATGACACGTCGTGAGAACGTCTACAGCTCCTCTCAGGGAGAAAGCAAGTCTGCTGTTTCTCTCTTTATTCCTTTTCTCCTTCTTTTGGATTTTTAAGACAGTCTGTAGTCCAGGTTGGCCTGGAACTCACTGTGTAGCCCAGGCTGGCCTTGGACTCACAGAGGTCCACCTATCTCAGCCTCTTAAATACTGGGATATAGTTGTGTGTTTTTTTGGTATTCGGGTCTATATCTATGGTTTGGGGCATGCTAAGCAAGCTCTCTATTACCGTGGGGCTAATTAGAATCTACTTTTATTATTTATTGTATTATACAAGAAGCTTTGCTTTTTTTTTTTTTTTTTTTTTTTTTTTTTTTTTTTTGGTTTTTTTGAGACAGGGTCTCCCTGTAGCCCCAGCTGTCCTGGAACTCACTATGTAGACCAGGCTGGCCTTGAACTCACAGAGATCCGCCTGCCTCTGCCTCCTGAGTGCTGGAATTAAAGGTGTGCGCCACCACACCTGGCTATATAGTTTTAATTTTATGTGTATGAGTATTTTGCTTGCGTCTGGAGAAGTGTATCACATGTGTGCAATGTCTACAGAGACTAGAAGAGGGTGTTGGATTCCTTAGAACTGGAGTTCTGGTGGTTGTTAGCTGCCATGTGGGTGCTGGGAACCCAACCTGGTCCTCTGGGAGAGTAGTAAGTGCTCTTAACCATGGCACAATCTCTCCCGCCTCAGTATTGTACAAGCTTTTTGTTGTTTGTTTTCTTGCTGTGCTGGGGATTGAACCCGGAGCATTCCTCATGCTAGGAAAGCATTCTACCACTGAACTACATCCCCAGGCCCTTGACTTCCTCCTACATTTAACCTACATGTAAGCTGGATATGATAGCATACACCTCTAATCCCAGCACTTGGGAGGTGGAGGCAAGAGGATCAAGGGCTCAAGGCTAGCTTCAACTATATAATAAGTTCTAGGACAGCCTGGGCTATATGAAATCTTTCCTCCTAAAAAAATGCTAAGAAGATGGTTCAGTTGGTAAAATGGTTGCTATGCAAGCAGAGGGACTGGAGTTTGGTCCTAGCACAAACTAAAGAGCCAGACATAGTGTTGGACCTATAACCCCAGCGCTGGGGAGGTGGAGACAGGTGGATCCCTGGGGCTCACTGGCCAGTCAGCCTAGCTAATCTGTGGCCTCATGTACTAGTGAGAGATCCTGTCTCAAAAACCAAGGTGAGGAGTGATTGTCAACCTCTGGCCTACACACACACACACACACACACACACAACACATAAATACAAGTAGAGAAAGTTTTTTTTTTGTCTTTTTGAGACAGGGTTTCCCTGTAGCCCCAGCTGTCTTGGAACTCACTATGTAGACCAGGCTGGCCTCAAACTCACAAAGATCCACCTGCCTCTGCCTCCCAAGTGCTGGGAATTAAAGGCGTGTATCACAACTCACTAAAGTGAGTTTTTTAAAAAAGATTTTAATTTATTTTTATTTTTGCTTTTTAAAAAAAATACTATGTCTTTTTATTTTATGTGTATGAGTGTATTGCTTGCATGTATATAAGTGTTCCTGTGTTATGTAATATCCAAGGAGATCAGAAGAGGGTGCTGGATCCCCTAGAACTGGAGTTAGGGATAGTTGTTAGCTGCCATGTGGGTGCTGGGAATTGAGCCAGGGTCTTCTGCAAGAGCAGCCAGTGCTCTTAATCCTTGAGCCATCTGTCCTGCCATATATGTGTGTGTGTGTGTGTGTGTGTGTACCTGAGTGCAGGTGCCCAAGGAATCCAGAGGTGTCAAATTCCCCAGGAGCTGGAGTTAAAGGTCGTTATGAGCCACCCAACATAGTCACTAGGAACTGCACTCCAGTCCTCTGAAAGAGAGCAGTATGTGCTTTCAACTGCTGAACCATGTCTCCAGCCCAAGACAGTGATTAAAAAAAAGACATATTTGGGGCTGGAGAGATGGTTCAGCAGTTAAGAACAAGAGTTGTTCTTGCAGAAGACCCAGGTTTGAATCCCAGCACCCACATGGCAGCTAACAACTGTCTGTAACTCCAGTCCCAGGGGATCCAACAGCCTCTTCTGACCTCCATAGGCATTGCATGACATTGGTGCACTTACCTACATGTAGGCAATACACGGATACACACAAAACAAAGATAATAAATAACATTTTTAAAAAAGTTTTAAAAAAGACATATTCAATACCCCCTGCCATTGATTGATTGATTGACTGCAGTGCTGGGGATAGAACACAGGGCTTCATGCAAGTTGGGCAAACTCCACCAACAGAGCTGCGTCCCAGCCCCTTTTGCCATCATTTATGACATAGTCACTACTGGAGGGCATTTGGACTGTACTTCTGCATTTTGTCAATCAATTATCCCTTCTTTTCCATGGTGCTTATTGGGTTGGGTGGATGGGGGAAAACAGACATGGTGTCTCCCTCACTGACTTTCTACTGCAGGGAGAGAGAAATTTCTTGTGTTAAGAAGAGAGTAGCCAGGTGTGGTGGTGCATGCCTTTAATCCCAGCACTCAGGAGGCAGAGCAGGTGGATCTCTGAGTTCAAGGCCAGCCTGGTCTACATAGGGAGTTCTGGTTCCAAACCCAGATCTTCTGCAAGAGTTGCCAGTGCTCTTAACTGCTGAGCCATCTCTCCAGCCCCCAAATAAATAAATTTTTAAAAAATAAAGAGGCAGTCTATATGAGGTGCCAGTCACTTGAGACATGCAGGGAAAAGGATTCTGTGTAAAAGGATCAGCATGAGCAAAGGCATAGACATATGAACACTGTGAGGTACATCTGGGAAAATCTGAGACTCCTTATTATAGCATAAGTGTAGTTGGTGGTAAGGCTAGGCAGGCAAGGGAGAGCCTAGGCCTTGAATGCTCAGTCAAAGATTTTAGACTAGATTCTGTAGGTAACAGGGAATTATTTGTGTCTTGCTTGGTATGTGTGAGGTCCTGGGTTCAATCTTGGTGGGGAAAGGTGTGTTTCAGAAGGAACTTCAAAGCCTACCCTGTGCCTGAGCCTCAGGGAAGTTGTTACTCTGTTGCTCAGAGAGGTCTAGAGATTTGCCCAACTGAAACAGCAAACTCAAGACAAGTGTCAGTCTCCCAGCCCTAAATCTGCTCACCCTCTTCCACCTGCAGCCTCTGGAAGTCACTAAGCAGGAGAAGGGTGAGGAAACCCCCACCCCCACCCCCATTTGTGGAGCACCTAAGATTGCCACCCACTGTGCGTGGCCTTGTGGGTGGGGGCCAATAAGAGCTGTCTGGAAGGAGCTTGAAGTCCCGGTGCCCCATCTGCTTAACTCCAGAAATCCTCCCAAGAGTCATGTCCCCTGGTGCCCGCCCCGAAAGAGGCTGAAGAATACAAAGGGCCGGGGCTTCCGGCCTGGCTGCCGGCGGCGTATTCGGTTTCCCTCATTTGTCTGTTCTGACCTGTTGGAGCAAAGGGCAGCCATCGGAGGTGTCTGGGATGAGGCTCTGGCCGCCGCCGGGTTAATGGGTCGCTGGGGACTCAGGTTGGCCGTGGAAGGAGGATAGGGCTGGGGGGCGGGGGGGGGTGCCCGGGACACCCCCCGCGGCCCCGCCCCGTTCTGTGTGCAACGTGCCAGAGACCTGAGAGCGGATGCAGCTGATGGAGCAATCGCGGGCAAACGTGCTGCCCAGCTCGTCTGCGGGTGGCTGGGTTTGTTGGGGGCGGGAGGGGGGCGTCGGTGCGGGAACCTGGCCGCAGCAGCTGGCCCCTCCCCACCGGGTTTCCAGAGACACGGCTGGGGGCACCCAGAATCGCGTGCACACGGGGGGAGGGATATGTGTGTGCACGGGGGTTCATGTGCACACGTGCCCAAAGATCCACCCCCCCCCGCCCCGAAGTTCAGGCACTCTGGCCCACTTATCCCCCAGGCCACGGTTGTTCCGTTCCGCGCCTGTCCCTCCACCAGCACAAGCACTGACAGACACCGGGACTGCGTGCCAACCCGCAGACACACCTGGGCAGCTCCACGTGGGCGCCGCACGCGCTGGGGCATTTGTTTGGAGAGCAGTTCTAAGCTTTTGGACTTGTCTATGGTCGCAGGCCTGTTGGAACAAGGACTAAGCTGAATATCCTTGCAGAAGTTGCTTAAACTGAGCCTCAGATAACCAAACTGTTGAGTGGGAATGATGGAAGTCCTATTGGGCTGTTGTAGAGATTAACTAAAATATTGACTACAAAGTGTTAAGCCCCAGTAGTCCAAGGACTCTCTCAATATGTGTTGGGGGGGAGATATCTGTGAATACCAAAGACTAGGTATATACCTTTTCTGCAATAACACCCATCATCTGTTCCCCAGGGCCTTTCGTCCATCCTTCATGCACTTCGTTGACACAGATCTCTGAGAGGCCCTGAAGACTGCTGATCTGCCTGAGTGCTAGCCTGGGGCCATTGCCCAGCATCCCTATCTACACCTGTGACCTGCAGTCGGCTGCCGCCACCTCTGGCCCCCTGACTCATTGCAGTAAGCCCTTTCCTGCCTGTCTCTCTATCCCTGCATCAGGGATGCAGAGACCAGCTCTCTCCAGTCTCCTGGGACTGCTGGGGGATGAGTCAGATAACTGGGAAAAGCCAGAGAGCCTGAAAGAGGCTCTTACTAGAGCCGGCTGTCTGGCTGATGCAAGGTTTGGGTTTTTCCATGTAACCCTGTTCGTGCAAACAGGAATGGTTCCCAGCAAATGCCAGGAGCCCTATTCCCAACAGACAGGCAGGGGTAAGGAGTGTGACGCCAGGGCTCTGTCAGGCTGTTATCCCTTGCTCTGTGACCCTGAACATGTCTGGTGACCTCTCTGCTTTGACTGCCTGATCCTCAGGAGGGGGGCGTGGTCTGCTTCACTGTGCTGTAGTATGAAGCAATCTTCTGTGCTTCTCAGAAAGGTTTCGATGGCTGGAGACTCAGGAAGAGAGGTAGGAAGGAGTCAGAGATCAGTGTACCCTCTGCCAACCTGGGATATAACTGCCTCCTACCTGTATGCCATAATGCTCAGGGGTCTGTTCTCAGATGTGACCCAAGTCTGGAGCCTCTTTCTTGTTAGTGTCTTGAGCGTCTGTTCCACATGTAGAGATGGAAAGAGCAATGCCTTATCAGAAGTCTGCAATGAGGGAAAAGAATGGAGTGCTGGGGGATGGGTGGGGGCACACTCCTGTAATTCTAATGCTGGGGAAGCTGAGGCAGGAAGATCATGAGTTCAAAGTTGAACTGAGTTACACCACTGTCTATAGCAGCTCCTCCCACAGTGCATTCTCACCATGTCTCTATCACAAGGGAGGTCAGGTAGGCTCCTGTCATAGGCCTGGGGTGGGAATGAGGATTGATAGCTTCCTCCATGGTTTATCACACAAGCTTTGATGGAAAGGGCTCTGCTCTGGTGGGAATCTCATACACATCACTGTATCTGGCCTGTATATTCTGTGACATGATACAGATGAGCGAATGGAGGCGGGGAGAGATGGAATAACTTATCTCGGATCACATGGTTACATGGTCAGGAAGTGTCAAGGCCAGGATTTGAACCCAGATCTGCTTGAGACACATGATCCCACCCCAGTGGGTTTGTGACCCCTCTGTTTCTCTTCTGTGTTCTCCCTAGTGGACTTCTTTTTTAAAAAATTTTATTTATAGCCGGGCGTGGTGGCGCATGCCTGTAGTCCCAGCACTTGAGAGGCAGAGGCAGGCGGATCTCTGTGAGTTCAAGGCCAGCCTGGTCTACATAGTGAGTTCCAGGAAAGCTGGGGCTACAGGGAGACCCTGCTTCAAAAAGACAAAAAAAAAAAATTTATTTATTATTTTTATTTTATGTGTATGAGTGCATTGCCTCTGTATAGGTAGGTGCACCCATGTGGTACAATGCCTGAGGAGGTCAGAAGAGGGCGTCAGATCCCCTGGAACTGGAGTTATGGACAGTTGTTAGCTGCCATGTAGGTGCTAGGAATCTAACCTGGTCCTCTGTAAGAACAGCTGGTGCTCTTAACAGCTGAGCCATCAATCCAGCCCCCATAGTGGGCTTCTTACATTGTCAGGTCCCTAGGGTTTCTGATGTCCTCCGCACTTCTTCCTTGATTTCCAGGGTGTGGCCAAGCAAGGGGTGTGTGTGTGTGTGTGTGTGTGTGTGTGTGTGTGTGTGTGTGATCACATGGAGTGTGGGAGGGGTATGTCTCTACCCTGATCAGGGAAACAAGAGGCCCACTGAGAGGGGGATGGGGTCCTGTGAGGTAGGGAATGACTCAGGCCAGTGATAAGCCTGTGGGCTGTGTCTCTGTGTCTGTGTGTCTGTGTGGGTGGGTGGCATGAGGTACGTGGAGACAGTGTGGAAGGGGAGTCCAGTCCTGACGGCCTCAGTGAGGTGGAGTGCTTCTAAAGCATACCCCAGCCTCATAGCCTTGCCTGCCGAGGTGCTTCCAGCTCCTCTCCCACTTACAAGGCCCTGCACTCCAGCCTTCCCAAGGCCTCACACCTCAGCCCACATGAAGCCAGAGCCGCAGGGGTCTGGGTGGGGACCACCACTGGTGTCAGTGCCCCTGATGCTGATGCTGATGCTGGCTCCTCCTTGCCCAAGAAGCTCTTTGGACATCTTCATTCTGGGCCTAGCTATTTTTAGACATCTTCCTCTCCCACCCCTCCCTTCCTGGCCTCTACCAGCTGAAGGAGGAAATGACTCATCTGAAACCCAGACAGGTAGAGGCAACCCTGCCGCCCCCAGCAGACCCTGGCTGCTCTAGACCTAGTAAAGTCCCCTCAAAATGGTCTGCTTACCCCTGCCTGCCCCCCAGCCTGAAGACAAAGTTGGGCTAGCATGGAAGCCCAGACCCCTTCGTGGGCTCCTTTTCTATTAATCTCCCAAGGTCTAGGGCAGGACTGGCTGAAGCCAGTGAGGGCCAGGATGGGCCTGTTAAGCCTAGGGCTGGGTGGAAGGCCAGATAGAGACTGGGGCTGTGGGTGGATGGGTGGAGGGGGCAGCTGTCCATGAGGAAAGGCAGGGAATAGAAAGACAGTAACAAGCTTGCATCAGGCCAGCTTGGTACCAGGTTTGCTACCTCCTGGTACCTCAGTGTCCCCTCTATGAAGTGAGGAGAGGGGTAGCCAACCCAGATCAGGCTCTGACTGCTTTCTTTGGCTCCCAGGACTCCTGACCCCATGAAGCCTGTCCCCTGGGGTCATCATGGGACCGGTGACTGTGGCTCAGGCTTTGATGAGAATAACCTTTGTCTTTGTCATCCACAGGGTACTGGCTCTTAGTTCGGGGCTCCATGACCTAGGCAGCTGCTCTGACATACCTGAGTAAGGTAACCTTGGCAACTCACTTCTCACGGCCTCAGTTTCCTCATTAGTAGTTGTAGGCTAGGTTAGGTCTCTGCTATTTATTTTTGTTTTGAGACAGAGTCTCACTATGTATCTCTGGCTGATCTGGAACTTGTTATATAGGTAGACCAGGCTGGCTTTGAACTTGTAGCAATTCTCCTGTCTCAGCCTCCCAAGTTCTGAGATTGTGAGCATGTGCTACCATATCTGCAGATTTGTTCTTTATTTTACTTTTAATTTGCTTTTTATTTTATGTGTATGAGTGTTCGCTTACATGTATGTATGGGTATCACATGCATGACTGTTGCCCATGGAGGCCAGAAGAGGGTATCAGTCTCCTGGAACTGGAGTTAGAGACTGTTATGATCTGCCATTTGGGTGCTGGGAACTGAATACCAGTGTTCCGTAAGATTAGTGAGTGCTCTTAGCTGCTGAGCCTTCTCTTCGGTCCTATTATAGTTATTTTTATTTTATCATGTGTGTTTGTATGAGTGTGGGTGCATATACCATGGGGAATGTGTGGAGGTCAGGAGAGTCTTGTGGGAGTCTATCCCTCCTTTCACCATGTGGGACTCAGGAATCATACTCAGGTCTCAGGCTTGGCAGGAAGCACCTTGACCTGCGGAACCATCTCGTAGACGTCTGGTTTTTAAATATTTAAGTTGTGTATAGTGGTACAAACCTAGAATCCCAATGCTTGGAAGGTGGAGACAAGAAAATCAAAACTTCCAGGTTAAACACAGTGAGTTTGGGGCTGGTGAGATGGTTCGGTGCTTAAAAGTACCTGCTACTAACCATGACCACCTAAGTTTGATTCCCAGGACTCACTTGGTGAAAGATGAGAACTGACTTTCGAAAGCTGTCCTCTAACCTCCATTTGTGCACGGTAGCATGCACACACACACAAACACATGTACACAGTACATTTTAAAAATATGATAATAATGAAATAATAATGATTAATAATAATAATAATAATAATAAAACGTAGTAAGTTTGAGGCCAACCTGAGCTTTGTAAATCTGCCCACTTTCCTGAATTCTTCAGGAGAGCGTAACCTCCCTTTCTCTCCTTTCTCTTCTCTAAGCATGCTTTCCCTAACTCTTTGGGGAATGTCCGCCCCAACATTTTGGGCTTCTTTACTCTTTCTCTAAAGCCGCCCTCCCTGCCACGTGGCTGCCAGTCCACCGTGTGTCTGACCTCCGTGCAGCTTTAATGGCTTGGCTTTTTTCCTTGTCCCCTTCCAGTCTCCTCTGGACAGCTGCTGAGATTTACAGCTTGTCTGCCCAAGAGGGTCCTCCTTTAAACACTAATCAAATTGTCCTAAAGCTTTAAAAAAATAAAGGAAACCAAATTTAACTATAAATACTTGTTTATTTTAGCAGTGGGCTCTCCTCTCTTCTCCAAACTCCCACTGCACTAAGGATTGGAGAGGGGCATGCAGCTGGGCCGTCTCTCCAGGCTGTCACACTCTAACAAGGGCCTTGGGAGGCATGGAGAACCCTTCTCCTCAGAGCTTGTTATTTCCATCACTCTGTCACTTGTGCCTCAAGGGTAAGGATGCTATCTTTATTTCTGGTTCCAGGCAGCCCATCACTTTCTGGAAGCTTCCACCCAGGGTGAACTCTTCCTTAGCCCTTACTAAGCAGATTCTTCCGCCCATCAGCCCCTTGTGTTCCTCAGGGGAGCGCCAGTAACAAAGCCCTCTAGGTGACAACAGCCTGCAGCACACCTTCAAGAGACCCATCTGGCACTTCGGGAGAGGGGCTCCAGTGTTTCTGCTCATGGCTATCAAGCTGGACAGCTTGTCTGGGACTCTCCAGTGCCAGTCTGAGGCACCTGGCCACTGGCCAGGTTTTCCTGGTTTGTCCCTGGGGTGCTGGCACCTGCAGGCGCCCACTATGGGCAGGAATAGATGGCCAAGATGGGAAAAACAGGAGCTGGTGGTGTTGGGGCAGGCTACCTGCGGTCACTTGGGCTTCAGTTAGGCCTGGGCAGGCCAAGGGGCACAGCTGGGGCAGGAGGGGAGGCCTGGTCCTGGATGTGACCTAGTACAGGAAAGGGGCCGGGGCCTGGCAGCTGACCCTGGGTCGCCCAGAGTCAGAGAGGCACTGACTTGACATCAGCAGTGCCCTGGAGTGACATTTGGTCTTCAAGCCATGGTTTTGGGTTCTCATGACACAGCATGGGAAGCTGGGAGGAGCCAAAGTTCCCCTCCCCCACCACCTCTGTCTGCCTGGGTCCCTCCCAGCTGCCTGACTGGAAACAAAGCCAAGTCAACAAACAGTTCCTCGAATTGTGTTCCAGCTGAGGCTGTTCCAGCCTAGGCCTCCAGGCTCCAGAGCTAATAATATTGGCAGATGTAGGTCATGAAATTTGATCTTCTGGGATGTGATCCCACCTCGCTGGGGAAGTGAACTGGTGCAGTCTGGACTCAGGGTCCTGAAGACTGACTCTTGGGCTTGGGATCCTGGGCTGAGGACCCTTCCCACCCTAGGTTAGCTGCAGTCAGGCTAGGGTCCAGGAGTCTGGACACCTGTTAACTCAGTGACTGACAGAGGCTGACAGACTGGATGGTTAATGAGAAGGCCTGTGCGAGGATAATGGTAATTTTGAAGTTTTACAGACAGTACCACAAGTGCTTTCTGTTCTAGGTAAGGCTGGACCTTGACCTCTGTCTGGACTTTCATCCAGTTCTTCAGTGCCAAGTAGGTACCTGACAGGTCTGCAGGAGCCTTAAGAGGCTAGTGGTGGGGCTGGGTGTGGTGGCACATGCCTTTAATCCTAGCACTTGGATCTCTGTGAGTTCAAGGCCAACCTTGTCTACATAGGGAGTTTAAAAAAAAAAAAAAAGAGGCTGGTTGGTGGTGGTCTGATGTGGTTAGTTACACAATTTGGGATCCAGGATGTAAACTTTAGGGTACAGGGCCACGGGCTGGTAGCCAGCAGGTGGCAATGCGTGCAAGTGGTGACCAGGCTGGTGGCCAGGGCAGCATTGGGACACAGGGACAGAACTGTTTCTGACTTCAGACATGGGTGGTGCTGCCTGGCACAGGCTGGAGTCAGCATCTACTCTCTGGCCACTGTGTGCCCTTCTCATGTTGGCTCCTGGCCCACCTGTCCTCTCAGGGAGAGGAATTGTGGGGCTTTTCAGCAGGATCCTGCTTTCCCCAGGATCCTGCTTCTCCCAGGAGGAGAGAGGCAAAGGACAAAGATCCCTCTGAGTGCTTGTTGTGAGACCTACCATCCAAGTGGGCCCTTCTCCCCGGATGGCACTGCATCAAAGCCTCCTCAAGTCTGGGTCAGTGTACAGGTTTGTGGCTGCAAAGTGACCCTCAGGCGACCCTGGCAGAGGAGGTAGTGAGGCTGAGAAAGCTGTGTAGGGACAGTCACATGTGCTGCACAGACAGCTGTTTCTGTGCCCAGGGCCACTTCTGTCCTTCAGCCTTGTTCCTTCCTTAGCTTTTTTCCTGGGGCCCTGTGTCCAGGCCCTGCCTGCCTTCATGAAAGGGCTTTACACAACATGCCTGTCACTCCAGGGGAGGAAGACATTGCTGAGGAACTGTACAAATACCTCTGGAATCAACCTGCCTGAGGCAGTGGCCAGATGCCAGGCCCTGAAGCCTGAAGACTTATCTGTGCATCTCAGCAGGGTATTGGGCCTGAGCAGCAGGTGGAGGGAGCCAGGCAAGAGGCAAGGGGAAGGGGGAAGAGGCTCCTGGGGGCAGCAGAATCAGAATGTGAGGCCCTTCAGGCTGTTTGTCAGGATAGCATCCTAGGAATGACACGGCCTGGGACAATGTGGGTAACCCTGTCGGTTTGAGGGATGAGGCCTGGTCAGGGTTGACACCCTCGGTGTACAGTCTCTTCACTTTCCTCCTCTGTGTCCATTAGAGAGATGAGAACAATCAGCCAAGATACTGGGGATGTCAACCTGAGTCCCTGAAAGGCCCAAGCCTGACCTTTGCCCTCCCAGTGCTAACTCCACTGGGAAGTAGCACCTCAACCCTCCTCCACCACCCTCCAAAGCCAGTCTCTGAGTTCTGCCCTCAGGGACTTTGGACCAACTTGGATAGAGGCAAGCTGGTGGACAAGGTGTGGCAGCAGAGCAGACCCCCTTCCACACACAAAACCTCAACTCTAGGCCTTTGGGAGCGCTAAGGAATCCTACACAGCTGCCCTTGCATTCCTGTTCTGCCTGTGTCCTGGGCCTTTATTTCCTGCCAAACCAGCTGTAGAAGTGACAGGAGGCCTGAGGCCTGCCCTTGGAGAAGCATCTTTTAACTGGAGTTAGGGGAAATGACATCCCAGTTTGGCCCTACTTTTCCCACTTTCCTTATGGCTTCTCTTTTGCCTCCTGACCCCACCCCACCCCAGCCAGAGAGTGCACCAAGGAAAGCTGAGATACTTCTAGAACGCACTGGCCACTCAAGACAGGCAGGATCAGAGAAGCTCAGCTCAGGATCTTCTATTTCTGGTGAAGTTTTTTCTTTTGCCCAAGACCACTATGTGAGACCAGTTTGATAATTATAGACTGGGGACCTAGCCTACAAATTGTTCCCTGGCTGTGCTTGTTTGTCCTTTCCTGCCTGCAGGCCTCTGTCACAGTGTTCCCTCTGGCTGCATTGCCCCCCTCCGTCCCCCTCCCCAAGCCCATAAAAGTGCCACCCACCCTTCTTCCGTAGAGCTCCCAGTCAGAGCCCCTACACCTGCTAAACCCACTCCCAACAGGCCCCTCTTCCATTCCCTCAAGAGCGGTGCTCCTCTGTCATCACCGTGCCTTCAGCTTCACTGCCTAGGCTAGGACTTGGCACCAGTGTCAGGGAATCTTCGTTGACAGGACCAGTAACTGTTTAGACAGAGCTAACTATGACCAGACACCATGTGAAGTACTTAGTGTAGGACAATTCTTACTCCACACAATCACCCCATAAGCCAGGTGTTTGTACCCATCTTTGCAGAGGACACTGAGGCAGAGGGAGGTTAAGGGACACACCCAATGTTACCCAGCCAATTTCCTGTGGAGCCAGAATTGAGCCGAGGCAGCTCAGGTCCACATTACATTGATACAACTAATCTGTTAGGTTGTCCCTGGGACTGATGACACCTGTCCTGTATAGCAGGTGGACATCTTTGACACTGCTTCAATGTGCAGTTCATCCGCACCGAGGCCATTGTGTTTAGTGTGGCCTTTCACCCTTGTCCACTCTCCTGGACTCCCACCATTCTACTTGGAAGAGTTTGACCTGGAGTAGTAGTAGTTCAGTGCCTATAATCCCAGTACTCAGGTGGTGGAGGCAGGCAGGAGGATCAAGAGTTCCAAACCAGCCTTGGGTACATAGCAAGTTTGAGGCCAGCCTGGGCTACATATAAAATATAAAAATAAAAATAAACAGCTGGGTATGGTGGCATGCACCTTTAGTCCCAGCACCTGGACGGCAGGGGCCAGCTGGGGCTACAGGGAGACCGTGTCTCAAAAAAACAACAAAAACAAACAGATAAAATCCTTAGAATGGGGGCTGGAGAGATGGTTTAGCGGTTAAGAGCATGGGCTGCTCTCACAGAGGGCCCAGGTTTGATTCCCAGCACCTACATGGAGGCTAACAACCATCTGTAATTCCAGTTCCAGGGGATCTGCCACATTGTTCTGACCTCTGCAAGCATTGCACTGCATGACATGGTGCATCTACATGCAAGCAATACACTCATACACATAAAATAAAAATATTTTAAAAAAATCCTTAGAATGACCTATACAGAATGAGGTAAGTGGCTTCACACCTGTAATCCCAGCACTTGGAAGGCAGAGGTAGGGGGATCACTAATGCAATTTGGAGGCCAGCCTGCTCTACACGAGTTTGGTCCTAGCCAGGGATACACAGTAGGGAGGTCTTACAAAACCCAAACCCAAACCCAACCCAACCCAACCCAACCCAGAGAAAAGTGGGCTTGGTCCCATTAAATACAGTAAATTTGGTTCAGGAAATACTTGCAGAATGGCCATTTTGCTAGACACCAAACTTGTAAACAACTTGTTCGGGAGACCCTGGGGATCGCCTTCCCTCCCGGCAAGCTTCAGTTTCCTGCTCTGGGAAATGGGCTGACTCACTCTGGTCACAAGGTATGAGGTCTGGTAGGGGGTTCTGAGTGGCTCCAGAACGACACTGTGTCAACAGCATGGCACTGTGCACACCTGCCCTAGACAGCCAGGTGACGTGACTGTCTGGCAATAGTCAGGCCAGGTGCATGGTCCGGCCCAGGAGCCCCTCGTGTCCCAGCCCTGAGCGGGCCAAGGAGATAAGGGGCAGGTCCCGTGGATCTGGAAGGACTCGGGCTTTTCTTGCCACCTGACAGTAGGCGGAGCATACTAGTCAAAGCCTTTTTTGTGTTGTTGCAGATGGAGGGCGGTCCCCCCGCCCCCAGTGTAGTCAGGGGAGGGGAGGGGGTAGCTGGCAACGCCTCTGCCAAGCACCGCTAACAAGTGGCAGCTCGCAGGCCGGGGCAGCGCGTAGTGACCCCCGGCGGGGACAGCCAATGAGCTCCCCGGCTGCAGTGGCACCACCAGGCAGCCCGCCTGCCTTTGGCTGGCTCGGCAGCGGGAGGGGCCTGGGCCCGCCAGTCACGGCCGCCCGCCCTGTCTCCGGGAGGCCGGGCAGATCTGCCGCTTCGTCTCCGGGAGCCTGGGCAGCCTCCGTGTTAGTTTTTCCCACCCCTCGGGGAGAGCGGGCCGGGGTGGGGTAGGGCCGGGAGGGCGGCTGGGAAGGCTGTGGGCCAGAGATGGCAAACACTTGGGAAATTTCCTGGTGCCCTAGATCTGGAGTGGCACTGAAGCCAGACTTGGGCCAGTGGGGTTCACTGCCCCCAGGCTTGTAGCAAGCCCGGAGGGCTGGAGGGAGCAGGGGCAGGAGAAAGCCCAATGTGTATGTACGAGTTGGGGGCTCATGGGCAAGGCTGATGTCTGGGACCCGAGATCCTGCTACCCCACAGCCACTAGAGCCCCATACCCTTTGTCTGGAGGGTCAGGCTTGCCACTAAGAACTCCAGAGGTACAGGCTGGATGGTGTCAACAGCAACAGGTACCTGGCCCATGTTTGGCCCCAGCCCCCGCGCAATGCACACCCACCATTGCCAATCACATAATAAACATATATTTATAGATGTACAATTTCAGAATTCTAATTCAAGAAATACAGCTTCTCAGGGGATCCTGTAGGATCGATGTTCTTATTGCACATGGCTCAGCCCGTCTAGGGACAGTTACCAAGACAGTAGGGGTGGTGGGAGGCAGAGCCCCAGGGCCCCAGTGGGTGGAGCACACTGGCCTGCCCAGCATTCATTCTCTCTCTGGGCCAGAGTGGCCACTTCATTGTAGGTCTCGACCTTGTTTAAAAACCAGATTCGACATTTCCTTACTAAACTTCCTTTCCCAGCAAGAATCCTATTTGTTGGGGGATTGTAAAAATAAAATAAATTAAAAAAAAAGAGAAAACCTGGGAGGACTGTTACCACCCGGGGCGGGCAGACCAAGGGAGGAAGGCCTTGGAGGCCGGCGGGTCATCCACCACAGAAAACGGAAAAACGGCAGTTCCCAAAGGCCCGGTATAAATGTGGTAATAAATAAAACCCTTCTTCCCCTGGCAGCAACTGCTGTTTTGAGAAAAACCCTCATTTGAGGGGATGATAAGAAAGCCATTGTGGTTCGGGTGGATCCTTCGTCCAGGGAGCACGAGGCCAGGTGAAGTTCTGCTGTGGAGGGTGAAGACAGACACCCAGAGGCACTGGCTTTTCTTCACAAGCTGAGCTGCACCTTGGGGTCCTGGGCCAACTCGTGGAGGATGAGCCTTCTGGAGTCCTTGGTGCACAACTTAGAAAACAACCAGTGGCAATGGTGGAGCTGTGCCCTGTGGCACCTGTAAGGCAAACCCACTTGGGGGACTTGGGTGGGGAAGTGATTAGGCCAGGCCTGGCCAGTCTCTTGGCCCTGCCATACTGTGGGCAGGGGACTGGATGCAGGGTTCCTGGGCACCAGGACAGAGCTGGGCAAGGAGGAGGCAGTGTGAGGAGCTGGCCTCACCCCAGCAGGCCTTCTCTGGGGTCTCTACCATGGCTCAATACTGACTTGCTACCTACCTCCGAGGTACCTTTCTCTGACCCCCAGCTTGCTCCCCTCCACCAGCTGTAATTCTGGGGACCTTCAGACGTTTCCTATGGATTTATACCACCATGATTACTGCTGCCATCAAAGCCAGGCTGGGATTAAAGGGGCTAGAAGTATGTGACTAGACTTTCCTTATGCTGTCAGCCATGGCTAATGTCTAGCTTTTGAAGAACTAGGCTGTCTTCTCCAAACAGACCTCATTTTCTAAAATATGGAAGAAATCAGCTGAACAACTTAACCCAATCCCTGCATAGTTTAAAAAGATTTTATATATATATATATATCTTTATATGTGCCTATTTACATATAAATAGATATATATACATACACACGCATTCCGGTTACATTCTATGGAAGTTCTCTCTCCTGTCTATCCTTGGCCCACACTTCTGCCTGGCTTCTCCTGAGGTGACTGGTGGTAGCTCCAGGGTGTGGGAGGAGAGGCAGTGGGGTGCCCCCTCCCCCAGCCCTTCCCACAGACGTTAGCTGCAAGTTTTACATTCTACTTTCGTTGCCATGGTTTCTGTATCCTAGGAGCGAGCGATGTGGAGCCTCTGCCAGCCCTGGGAGGGAGGGAAGCAGCCTTGTGGCAGGCTTTCTGTCTGTCCTAAGAGCTTTCTGCATTTACTGGGTGAGAGAGGGCAGCTGTGTGGCATCTGGCCCCCAGTTCCATTTTAATTTTTCTTTGTCTTTCCTTAAATATACAGTCCATCACCTTGGCTCAGTGTGTGTCACCAAAAATTCTCCAGGGATTTCATAGTCTGGGGAGGAGAAGGGGAAGAGTTAGTTGAGCAGTCACAACATGCACCTCTAGCTCAGTCACATGAAGGAGCAGCCACCATGAGTTGGCTCTGCCCAGCCAAACCCCTCCTCAGTGTTGCGCTCCCCGAGAACTAATACCAGCCAGTGGTCTTGGTGCTCTCAGCAGCTGGCTCTGTGCCAGGGTATACAGAGGATGGGGGTGGACAGGGTACCAGTGCAGAACTTCTACTGGCTCTGCCCACACTTCTCTGGGCTCGAGCCAGGCTACCCGCTCTGGGCTCTGGGCACTGGGAACTGAGCCCATTACCCACATGCAGAGGCGGAGGAGGTGGGGTGCTGTTAACAGCAACTTTCATTCTCCCCACCCCTTCTGTGCTGAGTAGCTGTGTTTGACCCTGAACTTGTGACCTTCTGTTCCCATCTTCAGACCGCAGGCAAGATGCCTGGGTGGGGCCGGATGCTCTCAGTTCCCAGGTGCACAACACTGGGGTGAGGGCCTCAGATCCCACCAGAGGGGGAGTGGTCAGGGCCCATAGGCCTCTCCTGCCTGCTGCTGAGCTGTCCATCATCTTGTTCCATTAGGGATGGCTCCTGACCACTCCCTCCTGCATGGATCTTTCTGGCATCAGTGTGACAGTGTGTGTGAGGGGCCATCTTGGGTCCAGTAATATTTGATGGCACAGCTACACTTGGGAAAGGGCTGGGGTAGCTTGATTGTTGGGAAGTAGGTCAAGGAAGTACAAAGCTCTCCCACTTTGTCTGGCTCTTGGACACCCCCACAGTATGGACAGGGAAAGGGATCAGGGGGCCAACAGGACAAGATGACTAGAAGGTTGCAACAGACTTCAGTTTCCAAGGCCCCAGAGCTGCCCCATTTCTGGAGGAGGTAGAAAGTCAGGCTGGTGACAAATCTTTGTCATTACTTCCAGGTTTCCTCCCTCCTTCCCTCCTCTGCCTCAAGACCAAGGCCAAAGCTGCCAGGAGTTGCAGGGCAGAAGCAGTCCTGGCTCATACTTGGACCTGGGTGGTGTGGCTGGCCCAGGACTATCCATGCAGGGAGGCCTGCACCTCTGACAGCCGGCTGCAGCTCGGAGTGCCCATCTTCTGTGCTCTGTGGTACATGTCTGTGTCACCAAAGTATCGAGCCCGGTACAGCAAGCCTTCTTCTGCAAAGCAAGAAGGCAGGGTCAGGGTACCCAATACCTCTCAGAGTCTGCCAGGTGGCCTGCCTGGGCCTGCGAAGGGAACAGGAAGGCTGGCACAGGCCCAAGAGCTTGGGCAGAGCTTGCCTCCCAGAAGGGAAGACCCTGGAGAAGCAGAGACCTAAGGCCCCTCTGTGGAGGAGAGGTGACAAGAGGCACCTTCCCACAGAACGTGGGGGAGGCCAGCCAAAAGGAGAACCTGCTGTCCTTGTGAGACTGCCCCAGGGCCCCAAAGACAGACCGGGGTACACTATCAGTAGGTGGCCAGGGATCTTCAATCTGTCTCTACATGTTCACACTTGGCAGCCACAGTGACAGCAACTCATGAGGACCTGGAGGAAATCACCAAGTGGCCCTGGGCTTGCAGTCCCAGGGGAACCCGGGAGTGGAGTCCAGGTCTTGGCTGGGAAGTGGCTGGCACAGGGCAGCACCAGGTGCTGGGCCCACAAAACAGTGGCTGGATAGGGCTTTCTCCTTTCCCAAGCTTTGTCCCCGCCCCAACTCCTGCCCCCTTCTCTCACATATTTATACACTCATGGACTCCTGTTCTCTTACACACCACACACACACACACACACACACACACGCACGCCCCCCCCCCCCCCCCCCCGACTCACTTTGCTGCTTTTCCTTCCAGCAGTTGTTTCGGAGGTTGGCGATGTAATCGTCTTCCACGTTCCGTTCAACTGTTTTGAGGCTGGAGCCTGTGTACTCCTCAGAGAAGGTGTCTGCCACGTAGTAGATGACGTTCAGGTGGTCAGTGACTCGCTTGTGGATGTGGCCCACTGACCTGACCAGAAACATACCAGGTACAAAGTGGGTCTGGGTCTCTAGGCCAAAGGCAGTTGGAGGACTGATAGCCCAGTAGAGGTACCACCCAGGCCATAGGGATGGTGGGTTCCCTCCCACGCTGCAGCAGGAACTTGCTGGATTCCCAAATGAAGATCTGCAGCAAGGGCAGAGTACTACGCTGCGTGAGTGACGCAGCCTGTGGTAAAGCCCTTCTCCAGGAGCTCTGCTGAGACTTGGGGCCTGTGGGGAGAAGCCCCTTTCTGAGGAGAGGCCTTGATCTAGAAGGTGGGCTTGGCCTTTCATGCCTCCACCTCCCCATCCAGCTTCTAAGCCCACGGAGGCCCAGGGTCTGCCTGATCTAGAGTTAAGAGTCAAAAATGAGAGGCCAGAACTTGTGCCTCTAGTGGAATGCATCCTTAGCCTGAGTTAGTTCAATTCCAGCCCGAGGAGAAAAAGAAAACGTCAAACACCAATGGAACAGAATGACAAGAGCGCTCTAGTCACAGGACCTGCAGGCAGCAGAAGAGCCGCAACATCCACCAGTCTCTGCCACCTCTCACCTCTCCAGCTGCAGGAAGAGGGGAGACTCCAGGGAATCTGGCTCCAGGGAATCAGAACTGGCTGCTGTAGGAACAGAGAGCCAACTCTGCCCCCTGCTGGTAAAAGGGAACCAGCTAGGTCCCCAGCCAGAGGCAGGCTGTGGAATGGGAGCTGAGGGCTTATGTCAGTTCTAGGCATTGGAAAGAGAGGGGTGCTGACACCTTAAAGGGTCAACTAATACTCAAGTTCATTACTGGCAGTTGAGATTGGGTATTCATTCAACAAATACTGCTGAGCATTTCTAACAAGCCTGACATTTCACACTTGTTACTCACTGATTTTTACAATTAGGTGGATGCTATTATTCCCATTTTACAGATGAGGAAACCAAGGTTATGTAACTTATCTGGGGTTATAGCTTCTCAGAGGAGAAGCTGGGTTCTTCTTCCTCTGTCTGACTATACCCTGCTCTTCCCATGGTCTCAGGGCTCCAAACATATTTTAAGAGCAGAGAACATTTCAGGGTCAACAAAGATGGGATGGCAGTGTGGAGTCTAAAGCTTCTGACACCACATAGGACCATCATGTGCACTGCCCCAGGGAAAGGCTTGGAACTTCCTCTGCACTCTCTTAGGGAGCTGTGATTTCACGACTAAGAGGCTCACCTCGAGAGAGTGTACTTTTGACCTTAAGCCAGCTTTCCATTAGGTCAGGATGGGAAAGAAGGCCCCTGCCGGGGACTGAGGATCCCCACTGAGCTGTCCTGGCCCCCTGGGCAGGTACTCACGGTCGTGGGCTGAGACTGTAGGGTGGACTGGACACCATGAGCTGGCTGAGAGCTGACACGAGGATGAGGATGAGGATGGGCATCAGCTGGACAAACACCCCTAGCCCGCCCTAGAAGGGAGAGCCGATGGTCACCAGCTCTTCGAGCACAACAGAGCCTGGGTGGCCGTGACACCCCCCACTTCCCTCCCAAAGGTTCCCCAAGTACACTTCCCTACTGGAGAGAGCAGGTACTTGGAAGGCGCGCCAACAAATGGAAGTGGCGCTCTCTGGAGGACAGGAAGCAGGTGGGAAGACTTGCACTATCCACAGCTCTTTGAATTTTGAATCACACAGATGTCTATACTGCCGACTGAAAAAAATGACTAAAGGTGGGCTTGGAGAGATGGCTCAGTGGTTAAGAGCACTGGCTGTTCTTGCAGAGGACCTGGATTCAATTCCGTCCACCCACAAAGTGGCTAACAATCATCCCTAACTCCAGTTCCAGGAGATCTGATGGCCTCCCTGGGCATTGTAAACATATGGCGCACTTACGTACATGCAGGCAAAACACACTCATACATATAAAAATAAATAAAAAGGAAAAACTACTACAGGGCTGGGGATATAGCCCTGTGGTAGAAAGCTTTCTAGTATGTGCAGCTTTCAGTTTGACTCCTAGAACTAAAACAAGACAACCAGAAATAAAAGTTAATTCACTAAACAATAATTTATATGTTGACTGTTGTGGTGCACACCTTTAATCCCAGCACCCAGGAGGCAGAAGCAGGTGAATTTCTATGATGTAGAGGTCAGCTTGATCTACATATCGAGTTTAAGGCCAGCTGGGGATACAGGGAGAACCTATCTCAAAAAAACAAAACAAAACAAAACAAAAACCCTCCCCAAACCCCCAAAATAATAATTTATGATTTTAAAAACTTTTGTGCATGCTAGATACATATTTTTTTATTTATTATTTTTATTTTATGTGTATGAGTGTATTGCCTGCATGTATATGAGTGCACCTGTGTCATGCAATGCCACAGAGGTGAGAAGAGGGCTTCAGATTCCCCTGGAACTGGAGTTAAAGATGGTTCGTAGCCACCATTTGGGTGCTGGGAATTGAACTCAGGTCCTCTGCAAGAGCAGTCAGTGCTCTTAACTACTGAGCCATCTCTCCAGCCCCACTAGATACTTATTAAAAAAAATTTATAAAAATGAGCAGACAATCCAGGTGTGGTGGTACACGCCTATAATCCTAGTACTTTCAGAGGCAAAGGCAGAAAGGTAGCTTAAAGTTTGAGGCCAGGTGGGTCAATATATCAGGTTCTAGACTAGCCAGGGTGGTTATATAGCAAGACTTTATCTCAAAGAACCAAAACCAAGTATGGGCATGGCAGGTCTAGACTGTAATCGCAACATGTGGAAATGGAGGAGGCAGGGTTCTCAGCAGTTCAAGGTCATCTTCAGCTACATAGAGAGTTCAAGGTTAGCTACTGAGTTCCTTTCTCAAAAAGAAAGGAAGAGAGAAAAAGGAGACCTTCTGTTTACCAGAATGTTAAATTTTTTATTTATATTTTATGTATGTGAGTGTTTTGCCTGTGCACATGTAAGTGCATCTATGCATGCAATGCCCAAGGAGGCCAAAAGAGGCCACTGGATTCCCTGGAACTGGAGCTAGGGATGGCTGTTAGCCACCACGTGGGTACTAGGAACTGAAGTTCTGCAAGAGAAGCCAGTGCTCTTAACTGATGAGCTATCTCTCCAGCCACCTGTTTATCAGAATTTTAAATGCTCTTCAGTTGTTGGCAGTATTTGGGTCTTAGCCAGCTGGCTGTGTTGATCTGTGGCATCCAATATGTTTTCAAGTCACTGCTGAGTTAGGTTTTTATACACTTTTCTAAAGAGTGCTGAAAAGCACCTACATAAGCCTTTTTAATTATCTCACGACGTTTAACTCTCCATTGCCTAGAAAATGTTACTTCAGCCTTAAGAACAAATGGACTCCACAAAAGCTATTTACACTAGAAGCTGTCTGGAGGTGGAGAAGCTTCTGTCTTGTAGTTCCTGTAACAGAGGCAAGGTGGAGTGTGGCTCCCCCTGGTGGCCCTCTGCGGAACTGCATGGGAAGGAGCCAAGATGGTTTAGAGTGGCAAGGGCACTGTGAGTGAATACTCCTCCAGCCCTGTGCCCTGGGTGGGTCTGGCATCCCCCTTTCCCCCAAACTGCCCCCTTCCCCGCCTCCCCGCCCCTTTCCCCCAAACTGCCCCCTTCCCCGCCTCCCCGCCCCTTCACACTCACGTCACCCTGGTTCTCTCTGCGGTCCTGCCTCTGCTGGTAGGTGTAGCGCATGCGGCCATTGCTGTAGACATGGACGTTACCTGAAGGTCAGAGTACTGAGTCAGGGGCAGGGGCTCCTAGGACAGAGTGAAGCTGCCATCCAGATGGCCACCATCAGCCCCAGGAGTGGGGGGGGGGCTGTGTGAAGGGCAGGGGACTTACTGGAAGGAAAGCCACCACCAAAGAACATGTTGAAAAGGTCTTCAGGGGAGATGTCTGCCTCAAAACCTCGGTGGAAGTCCCCATGGCTGTGGCCGTGTCGGGCAGCCTGGTTCTTGTCATCACCAAACTGGTCGTATTGTTTCCTTTTCTCTGGGTTGCTAAGTACTGCATATGCTGTGCCGATGGCTGGAAGGGTGAGAAGATCAGGCCTGAGAAGGCTGGGTGTAGGTGGAGCCCCCAAAGAACCTTGAACTTCCTTTTTTTTTTTTTTAAAAAAAAAAAAAATCTTTTTGTATTTTTTAAAATATTTATTTTTATTTTATATGTATGCGTATATTGCCTACATGTATGTAAGTGCACCTGTGTCATGCAGTGCTCTCGGAGGACAGAAGAGGCTGTGGGATCCCCTGGAACTGGAGTTACAGACAGTTGTTAGCTGCCATGTGGGTGCTGGGATTCGAACTTGGGTCTTCTGCAAGAACAACCAGTGTTCTTAACCGCTGAGCCATTTCTCCAGCCCCTGAACTTCCTCTCTTTAGCCTCAGGGGAGGCAGGTACTTTACGGGCAGGAGTATTCAGGGCCAGTGACAGTTTGCCTGTTGGGCAATGTTGGGAAGCAGACCTTTAGGAAGACCCCTAAGCAAGTCTGCACAGCCTGGGCTAAGGAGGGTTAACACTCAGGCTCTTTGAATGATTGATTGATTGATTGAGTGAGTGACTGACTGATTTTTTTTTATTATAAAGTGAATAAATCTTTATTTAAGGGATATTCCACATGATTTCCTTCACTGTCCATCAAGGCTGCAGAAGTTCAAGACAATCCAGATACTCCTTTCTCAAAGAAACAGGTATTTCTTAATCCAGTTGTACTTCCAGCCCTCCCACAGTCTATGTCTACGTGAAGGACATATTCATGATAATGTCAAAGTTCTCCACCTGAGATCTGTGGCAACCAATTTCTTGAAACCATTTACTGTAGGAACCATTTTAAGATACATCTGCTTCTCAATTGCTGACACTCTAGAGAACAAACGGCACTCTGGATGAAGACCATTAGGGTGGGAAAGACTGCTCAGTATATAAGGCATTTGCAATCAAGCCTGAAGACTTGCTCTCAGTTCCCATCTTAAGAATGAGTTCGGTTCATACTCATTCCTAAGCCATCACACTCAGAATACTATGGTCTGCAGGATATGCCAATGCCTAAGGCCAAAAGCTGAGAATTAGTCTCATAGTTTGTTTAACTGTCTTGTAGTTCCTTCCCACCGGCCTAAGAAAGAGTCCTGTGAGTCAAGCAAACCACAACCGTTACTGTATGAGGTGTTTCCAATGATGTGTGGCTACTGGAAAAGACCCATCAGGATAGACCTCAGTGTGATTGATTGATTTTTGAGTAAGGGTCCCTCTGTGTAACCCAGACTGTCTGAATAGTCCTGGAACTTGCTAAGTAGCCCAGACTAGCCCCTAGCTCTTCATCCTCTGCCTCCACTTTTTAAGTGCTGAGGTTACTGTAGGCATGAGTCACCAGACCTGGCTTCAAGTATGTCTTGCTTCAAATTTTCTCAATGATGCTCGAGAAGCCCCTTCTTGTTCTCATCTCCTGGGGTACCCAAGGAGACAGGGTAATATAATCTTGAAGCCCTGCTGTGACCCAGAATAATGGACATTGGGATGCAGCAGGGGCTGCTGGGAAGGGCCAACTCTCTGGGTTCTGGAGGAGATTCCTGTGTGGCTACTGGTACGGCAGGGGAGTCCCCTCTCCTTGGGGCCCAGGCTGAAGCTGCTGTTTTCTACCTGGCCCTGGGGTTCCTTCCTCAGAGCTCCCTGGGACATGAGCAAGTGCCCCCAGGGTCCCTGGTTCTGGGCCTTCTCTATCTTCTGTTCCTCCTCAAGCTGTCCCAGTATTCACAGCAGTGGGCTGGGGTTTTGCTTCAGAGGGAGGACGGAATTCTCTTCCTCTCTCATGTGACAAGACCCAGTCCTCTGCCACAGGCTTCCCACTGGGCTACTACTCCCCACTATCCAGTACCACACAACACCTGCCTAGGCCAGGTGGGGCTAGTCACCAGGCTATTCCCTAGAAGGAGCCACATCAGGGATGAGAGAAGGAACAGTATCCAGGGATGAAGAAAGTGCAGGGCCCAGCAACACAGGGCCTGCATGGAGACAGAGCACAAACAGGCGAGATGAAAATGGAATGAGGAAAGGAAAGCTTATGATTTTGGCCAGAGGTCACACAGCCATTCCAAAAATCAGCAGGCCCAGAGATCTGAGACTGACCTGTCCCTGCTGCTGGCCTGAGGCAGGTTGTGGGTTGTAGGGAGTCTGCTGCCAGCTCTGAGGATCACTTCCCAACTCCCAGAGCTGGGCCTGCCCTGTCCTCAGCATAGGGAAACCATTAGGGTGAGCCAGGAGGCTGTTCCTGCCCAGGCTCTGTGTGACTGGAGAAGCTACTAGAACTCTCTCACCTCGCGAGCATGTACGATTGGGCCTGAGACTACTTCCTTTTGTTCCCACTTCCCAGGAAGCCTTGGCCCTCCCTGTATTCTATGGACAGGAAACAGAAACACCAAAATGCCAGCTTTGCACCAGCCCCTCCCCCAGGGCTGGCTCACCTTTGAAGGCTTCAGTGGCACCAGGCGCATGGTTCTTGTCTGGGTGGAACTTGAGGGCCAGTTTGCGGTAGGCCTTCTTCAGGTCCTCATCTGAAGCGCCTCTGCTCACCCCCAGGATCTCATAGTAATCTTTACACTGCTTGACCCTGAGAAGGGAAAAGAGCATGCCAGGGGCTGAGGTATGACGAATGGGCGGAGTGCGGGACACAGCTCACTGCAGGTGTGGGATGTGTGAGGTGCAGGTCCCGGACCTGAATCAGCTGTCTGATTTGAGAGACAAGGGAGCCACAGGAGACTCCCCTGTGCTGGGGAGCTGGGCAGGGCCCACCAGAAACACCAAGAGTACAGTAGGATTCAGGGGCAGCTGCTGTCTTTGGTCAGGCCAGCATCCATTTCCCTTCAGGCGCACCCTCACTGAAGGCAGCCTTAGGAGGCCTAGTGTGTCAGCCAGGGGTAGGTATGTTCTGAGTTCTGCCAACTGTATTCTCTCCTGCTCATAAAAGCTGGAAATGGCAGGTGTCTGCTCACCCCAAGCGCAGGGCCCTAGAGAAACGCTGCTTCTCTTCCACCTGGTCTTCTTTCTGGCCCCTGAAGGCCCTGTGCTTCTTGGGGATCTGTCTCCCCCAGCCCCACCTCCAGCTGTCAGGCATGTATGGTTGAAACCATGCCTGATTTATGGCCAATGACTTGGTTACACATAGCTGACCCTAGCCTGAAGTTTGCCAGCCAGGTGTGAGCTGGACCTCGGGATTCCCGAGGCTAGAAAGAGGGAGAAAAGAGGGCTAGGAGGTCCTAGGCTTGTGAGGCCTGGCTGGTGGGGGTCAGGCCTGGGAGTGAGCTGTGCCCTGCTGGGCTATCCCGTCTTGGCATAGCTCTGTGTCCTGCCTCTACTCTACCACACAGGCTCTGGTCTGAAAAGGACTTTGTTGGGGTGGGGGAGAATCTGGAGGGCAAGACGGTGGCATCTTTGTGTGACAAAGCTGTGAGAGGCCTGGGGCTGCCAGCCAGGGGCAGAGGAAGGCTGCCCCTGTATTCAGTCTCTGCTGTGAGGGCTGGGCAGTAAGGCCCTGGTTTCTACTCTGTGGGAAATAAGGCTGAACTCCTTCTATCCTCCAAGACCCTCCCAGAGCTCTGCCAGCCTCCCACCCCCACCCCAAGCTGGCCTCTACCTTTTTACAGCTGCCACCTGCTCTTGGGTGTAGCCTTTGGTGCTCTCTCCTCCTCCTCCTCCTCCTCCTCCCCCTCCAGCCTCGCCGTTGGCTGAGGGGATGTCGGTCCCGCCTGTTTTCCTGTGGGTTGTGTGGGTTCCATCTGTGGGTTTGGGTTGATCATCGGCAGACTGTGGTTTCTGGTTGAGGGACTCGATCAGAGCTGTGCAACCGATGGAAACCATTGAAGGGCTATTTGGTATGACTGCCTGCCATGGCCCAGGGGGCCCAGGTCCCCTGTGTCCCACCCACCACCCTCCCAGCAAGGCCGTTTTCTCCTCTCCTGATTTGGGCCTAATGTCTTAGGACATCAAGAAGACTGTAGATTTCTTAAATATTAGCAATATTAGTTTTATTAACAAAATTAATAGAAATATACATGACTCACGTATCTGAATTGCCTTGCCTATTCTTCAGATAGTCTGTTTACATACACACATATTTTCTTTTTTAAAAAAAATTTATTTATTATTTTTATTTTATGTGTATGCATTTACTGCCTACATGTAGGTTTAAGTGC